ATGCCCATACGGAAAATAAATTCACACGAAGGCATAAGGTATATGAATCCCGAAGGTTACTTGCTAGGCCCATACGGTGAATAAATTCACACGAAGGCGTCATTTTCACCCCCACTTAAAAGGTTCGGAGCTCGAGTATAGAGCTAGAGATGACAATTTTGAAAAATCTGAAATCATTAAAAAACGTCAGTACAACTATTTACTTGAAAAATAATCAAATGTAAATAATTAGAATCGAATAAATAAATTAAAATTTATAACTTTCGCTAAAAAAGACAACCGAAAATTAATTTCGGCCTGACTCACTTGCATGTCCCCAGTAGAGTCGCCAATCTGTCGGAACCGTATTTCGGGTGGACCCCGGAATTGGGCTTCGACTTAAATTAAGTGAATTGAAGTCGCCACCGACCACTTTAAAACGAATTTAGGTGGGTCGGACACCATCTTACCTGATCCGCGTTGTACGAGAAACGTGTCGGGTTCAGGAGTCGGTTACGGTCAAGGAAGGATTAGCACCCTTGAACCGTCCTTTCGGTATAAATTAATTTATCGGTTCTCTTAATTGCGAAAATTTATAATTAAAATTAAAATTTAAAAGTATTCGATTCGAATTGTTCACCTTTGATTGACTGGAGTTTCTAAAAAATGTAAAAAAAAATCTTAGATAACAAATAATAAACAAATATTGGATAAATTAAAGGGAAAATGGAATAAGTAAAAAAAATAAGTAGAAGAAAAAAATATTAAACAAAAAGGAAAACAAAAAAAGGTAATATATATATATATATATATATATATATATATATATATATATATATATATATATATATATATAGATAAATAGGTGAAACCGAAGACAAGTAAAGTTAAGTAAAAAAATAATGATAAAAAAGAAACACACAAAAAATAGAGAAATAAAATAAGAACAAATAATAAATAAAATGGTTAAATTTTGAAGAAAAAAAAAACGTTAGTGACGAAAATATAAATATTGAAATATGAAGACTCAAAATAAAATAGAATGAAACTTAATGAAATGACTGAAATAAAAGTATACAAACATACGGGGACCAAAACGCCATTACCCCCTAAAGTCTCGAAAACACGGGTACATGTTGGGCAAAAACTGCGTCATTTCAACTCCAATTATATATTTGCATTACTAAGGCCAAAATGGCCCAACTTGCTTCATTTTCCTCCTCACTTCAAAATTGAAAGGAGAGAGAGTATGAGAACTCTCTCCCCTTTCTCCTTCCTTGGCCGAGTTCAGGCCACCGCCCGGTGGTATCCTCGTCGCACCGCCTTACCTGTACCCAAAATCGAGCCTCAAACGTCCTAAAACACCTCTATCAGAGCAGATCTAAAAAACCTTTCGGGTTTTACCTTTTTTTCGACGAACCCTTGCGATTTCCGGTAGCTGTGTTGCTATTTTTTCTTCGATTTTGTGTTGCTCCGAATGTCTTCTTTTTTGTTGATGGTTGATGTTCACCGTAATCGTAGGTTATATGTTTCTGTTATGTTTCTCTGTTGCTACAGTGGTATTTTTTGTGGCTCTCGTTCTGGTTGTGTCTTGTTGATCTCTGTATGTCCTGTTGTTGGCTTATTTTTTTGGCCTCGATGTGTTCGATGGATGCCTTGTTTTCTGTCCAACGTTCCTCGTTCTTGGCTTGATGATGTTGGTTTTCTGTTCGGTTGTGGTGCCTTGTGGGTTTTGTGATCTTGTTGGTTATGTGTAGATAGTTTGTTGGCAGTGTTTGTTCACTGTTTTGTTTTCTCGTGGTGGTGACCCTGTCCCCTCTGGTCGATGGGTGGTGGGATATTTATACCCACCACCGGCCGTTTGTGACTTCTGAAATACGGGGCTCGTTCGTGGACGTTGTGACCGGCCACCCCGGGATGGGTCAGTCACGGGGATCTCGGCCGGAAATCTCGCACCGTTTGTAACTTGGCCCTTGACCTCCTCTGCGCGACGCTGCTCTGCTTGGATGAGTAAACCCTAATTTTAGGGTTTAGACTGGTTTAGGCCCTAAATCTATTGGACCCGAGTAGTGGACTTAGACCTGATCCTAGATCTAGACCACAAAACAAGATAAATAAAATTAAATGTAATTAAATAAACGAATAAAATGAAAAGAAATAATAATAATAAATAATAATAACAATAATATAGCGTATATAATATAAAAAAATATTTTTTAAACTATATATTATACTTAAAAACGTTTTCAAAACTATATATTATATAGTTTTCAAAAATAATTTTAAAAATATAATATAAGTTTTCAAAATGTTTTTTAAAACTATATATTATATAAATTTTTCAAAAATGGTTTTTTAAAAACTATACATTATATTTTCAAAATGATTTCAAAACTATATATTATATAACTTTCAAAATGTTTTAAAACTTATATATTGTATATAAGTTTTCAAAAACATTTTTAAAAAACTATATTATATATATATTTTCGGAAACCGTTTTTTTGAAAACTATATATTATATTTTTCAAAAAACATTTTAAAAAAATATACTATATTACTATATATATATATATATAGACGAAAATGAGTGTCTACACAAACCAAGCCTTTTCAAATGACAAATTGATTTTAATTAACTTCATTTAAATATCGATATGAACAAATTTAAACCATTCCTTTAATTAATTGCGCATAAAGGTTTAATTTTATGATGATAATTTTTTATTCTATAAATAAAATATTAATTTGGTTTATTAGTTATTTCAGTTCGGTTAGGAAAAAATTCAATTCAATTATTTTGATAGTTTGATCTATTCAATTTTATGATTTAATTAGTTTATTAAGTTTTTAATACACAAAAATTAAATTGATCAAACATATACCCCAAGAAGTGGGGCCTTGAGCTACTTGAAAGAGGTGAAATTTAATATTTAACTCCTTCCAAAAATTAAAATTCAATTGATGTCCTTTAAGTATCATTAATTAAATGGAAATTTTGATTTTCTTTCTCTTAAAAAGTAATGACTCAGTTTAAATACTTTTATAATATAATTTTTAGTTTTGATCTCTAAATTTTTATCAGTCCTTAACTCAAAATTCTTGGTTTTGTTTTCAGTGTGGGTTGAAAAATACAAAAATTATATAATTTATCTTAATGATTTAATTTAGAATAATAACTATTTTTATATATTTTTTAATACTTTTACTATTTTATATAGATTTTAATACTTTTACCGTGTATTTTTTGTCATGTATTAAATTGTTTATTATGTCTAAACATATACCCCATTGTCAATGATTTGTTTCATCGTTAATTTAATTTAATTAAAAATAAGAACATAATATTTAATTTTCTGAAGCAAAGTAGCAGAATATTCTATTAATGCATTCATAAACATGCTAACACTGTCAATGAGTCACTGGGAGGGTTGGCAAAAACTTAAAACGTGAGTGTTCTGGTCATTTAGTGTACTTAGGTTTCACCTTACCTGTAGATTCTTTATTAAATTGGTAAAGTACACAACTAGTTGTCCAACTGTTATATTAATAAGTTCGACTATTAAAAGTTATAAAATGATTCTTCAGACTATATGGAGTTGATTTATTGAGTCCAATGACTATTAAAAGTTACAAAATGGTCATCCGACTATTCATTATATTTCAAACTCGTTATTTTCCATTAAAAAATTAATGATAGTTTGAGCTTGACATTAACATGCTGACGGAGATATGATAATCATTTGAGATTATGAGGTCAAATTTTATCATATCTCATACAATAAATTAACGCCCAGATCAAGTCATCGTTAATTTTTTAAAGAAAAATGATGAGTTTGAAAAATAATGAATAATCGGTGACCATTTTATAACTTTTAATAGTCGACGGACTCAAAAAACAACTCTCATAATTGAGAGATCATTTTATAATTTTTAATAGTCAAAAAACTCAACAAAATATTATTCTATAATCGGAGAACTATTTGTGTACTTTACCCTTATTAAATTCAAAGTATAGATTCTTTATAAGACTCCTTGTGAGTCAACTTTGAGTTATTACTTAACACAGTTCGAATATAAAGAAATTTTGAACTTTTCTTAGAAACTGATTGAAAATTTGAAAGAATCTAATTGAATATTTTTAACGTTAACATTCTAATGAAAACTTGAAAGACTTAGTAAGGTGAAACATCTCTATAAGATTAGACATCCATCTAACACGATTCGAAGTTTTCGTCTGGATTGTAAAGAAACTAACCTTTTCTTGAAGCAGATTGCAAACTGGTTCATTAATGAGACACTGCGTCTTTAGAAGCCATGATTGAGGGGATAAATAAAGAAGAGTTTGGTGAACTTGGATTAACACATCAACCCTACCTCAAAAATCGCGGCCAAAGCAACTAGGGAACATTCTTCAGTATACGAGGATAATGGGGTAGGATTGCAAGACAGAATAACAATCCAAGTTGCTGATGGATGATGTTTAATTAGTACAAGCTCAAAAAGTGAAACCTGATCATTGATGTAGAACCGAACAAGCCTATGGCAAGAGCAATTTTTCAAAATATTGCTATAGGAGATACTGGCTCACCTACTGGGATGAAATTACGGGCTGACCTGATGAGTAACGTTGTTAGCAATAATCCTTATTCATATAATTTATCAGAATCAACTGGTTTTTCGGTGGGTGGTCAAGTGAAATTGCACTCGGTTTAAGGCACCATGAAAAGTATTGTCTTTTATCATATTCGGGGAGAAATGAGAGGTAACAACAAAGTGACTTTCATTGCATGGAACCAGGATTTCAACAAGGCAAGTATGGAAATCCCCAATTATTACGAAGATTATGTAGTCTGAAGAATGTACACCTCAAGGCTTAAGGTGGTTCACTGGATATGATGACAAGACAAAACATAAAAAGCAGGCCTTGAGATGTTACTTTGGTGGCTGTCTGGTTTTCTGAGTTTCATGTTTGAATATCAGAGAAAGGTAAAAGCATCGTCATGATAGAGCATTAAATGTGAATTTATAACAGCCATCTGTAACATACAAATAAGATTGATGATACAACTTCTATAGTATGCTGATTAAAGATTCTTGCACACAATTCCAGTATCAATCTGTGAGACATATATGCATAAGACCCATAAGTAAAATCCTAGTTTCAGAAACAACCTCGATTCACGCTTTCGACGTATGCAAGATTATTTTCTGCTTCAATTCATCTTTCACTGCCCCCACAACCTTGTCAACTATGTTTCCTTGTTTCAAAAGGATAAAAGTTGGCAATGCTTCAACATTGAAATCCCGAGTCACAGTCTGCAAGATACAAAGAGATCATATATCGAAGTTAATATATAGCAAAAGCTATTTTACAAGCTTCATTGAGAAAAGGGTTTAAAAGATGTCTTACCTTCAAATCTTCAACATCCACCTTGAAGAATATGACATGGGGCAGCTTCTTAGCAAGCTCTACCAGGATCGGTATCATAGAACGGGATGGTCCAAACCATGAAGCTGTGAAATTTACGACCGCCTATTCAGGGAAATCAAATCAAATGCACTGTCAATATCACTGTTTAACCCAAATTTTGTTCGCTTCATTCACTGAACTGAATTTAGGAATCATGAAGAAAAAAATCAAATTCAAAAAAATCAAAGAAACATGGGTCAATAAATCCAAAAAGAAAATGAAAATGTTGGCCTGCAAAAAAATGCTGTTTTTGCAGCAAAACTTTTTGGGAGTTTATCTTCACCGTTACTTCTCACCGGGATTCTTACTAGAATTATTTAAAATCTTGCATAATTTTTCTGCATTGGTTATGCTTTGCTGAATGACAATTGTCTTATTTATTGTTGTTGCTTCTTGGGTTATGCTTTACGAACTTATGTCTTATTGTTTTGTTGAGCTCTTGGTGGTTCTTTTCTGCATTGGTGTGGAGGTACAACTTTCTTTCATCGTCTGATTCCTAGTTATTATTTATTTATTTATGCATGCATATGAAGCTTCTCTTAATTCACGTTAAAGTTTTGAAAAATAGAACCGCTGGAAATGGTGTTTATTAATGGAGAAAAGAGGAAAAGGGTGAAGATGGTGGAGAGAAGAAGAAATAGAAAAGAAAGAACTAAATTGGTACTAAAATTATGATCAAATTGAAATAAATGTAAAAGTATAGGATTAAATTTATTATTATATTAAAAATAATTTAAATGATAAACGAGGGTAGAATTGGGCAAATAATCCAAGAGGGTGGATTATTTAGCCCAATGAAGTACCCTGAATTTTATTTTGAGATAAACGAAAAATGTTACAGTATCCATGGAACTCGTCATGCCGACGTAACGAATTTCATGAGATATAATTTTTTAATAGATCATGTCATGTGGGTCCCACAACCTAAATTTATTTAATATATTTTATAAGACTCGTCATGCCCACGTGACAAGTCTAAATAAAAAAATAATTTTTTAGAAAATTTTAAAAGCATTGTTAAAAAGTATTATTTTAATACTTAAGGAACTCGTCATGTCGGCGTGACGAGTTCAAACATGTATAATTTTGAATTTGTTGACCGTTAGATTGACCGTTGTTAAACAATCATTTTTTTTAAAATCAATGGAACTCGTCACGTTGGTGTGACGAGTTCCAACGGTTATTTTCAATTTGAAAAAAACTAGTTGTTTATAGTCATTGGGTAGAGTAATATAAATAAAGGTTTGAGTTAGATTGATTTTTCACTTGGAATCAAATATTCTATTGAGAATAAAATTTTTTTTGTTGAAGATTTTGTGTTAAAATGACCTCAAGAGAAGAAATGTTATGTCTTGATGATTGTAACACCCTCAACTCATACCCGACCCGGATACGAGTCCAGGATGTCACATTGACTATCAAAACAATATTCTTCAAAAAAAATGATAAAACATTTGGACTTATATAACTAAAATATGATAATATACATAGGTTAATACAAGTTTATCAAAATACTCAGAGCATTCACAACTTGACCATTTGATTACATTCCAACATTCATTTACATAACAAAATGACATACTGATTAAGTTGCTTATGATCTGATAGTTGCAGGAGTAATATTGTCCAGCTGCTTAACATATCTCGTTTACTTTCTCGGATCCTACGTGTGAAACACTCACACACTAAGTCATTGACTAAGTGAGGCAAAATAATAATAATAATAATAATAATAATAACAAGGAATTGTAATGAAATGCCATAATTAGATGAAATGAAATGAAGTCATATACTTAATCAATGCAGTTATATCACCATGTTCCTTACCTATAAGCATATTACATTAACATTCATGAATTCGTATTAATAAGTTTATTGGCCCATGATACCATACTGAGAACCTAAGGTATGTGAGTACTGTGAGGTTGTGCACTATGATGTCACCACAGCTTGTATAAATGCACAGAAGTGCCACGTAGAATTGCACAGAAGTGCCACGTAGAATTGCATCGAAGTACCGCGTAGAATTACACCGTAGTGCTATATAAGATGTCCCTAAGGACCACATAGAAAATTCCTTAAGAATCATATATATATGCAAAGGATCAAGTACGTGTCTCAAAAGACATCACACATATTCCAAGGAATACATATATGTCCCGAAGGACCGCGCAGACCCTCTACTCTTGGCATGGCAACTATACCTATAGTTCTCATCTACATAACATGGGCTTTTCTCAATCTACATAGTATATCACATAGACATATCCCTTTCCTTACCTTCATCACATAGTTCAATAACTTTGCATACATAGTCATTTAAAACATATTACACAATGCACATAGTATGAATTTCTATTACATTTCATAATATGAAATGAATCATGCATCAATGTATTGAATCTAGACTTATCACAAGTCTAGAACTGGATACACTACGATAATAATGTTATGCATATGCACTCACCTATATTTCTTTGCCTTTCCCTCGATCGATCATACTGGGCAATTGTTCTAGAACTTGTTTAAGCTCTGTATCTACATAGTAATACATTGATACTTATCAGTATACTAATTAATATATTCTAAACTATCATTTCTTAGGTTAAAAGAAAAGCTATTTTCATCTCTTAATAAAGGTATGTATCGATACACTCTACAGTGTATCGATGCACTCCTTAATGTTTGCATCGATGCACTACCCGTGCATCGGTACACAAATTGCATTCGATGTTTTCTTCTCAAGGGGGTGCATCGATGCACTAATTGTATTCGATGTTCATTTATTTGAGAGTGCATCGGTACACATTGAATGTGTATCGATGCACATAACCCATAAATGTTATTTTGAGCACGAAAATCCCTTCATAATCCTCTCAACACTATATAATTCACATCCTTTCATATCCCTAACTTGCATACACTTACTTAAACTAATTATTATCCATTCAATACCTCTAAAACTTAAAAATCCAATCTTCTCTATAGAATTTAAGAATCTCACTCAAATTCTAACATGTTCTAATCCCTATTCTAACACTTCATATTCCTTAATTAGCTTGATGACAAGTCAAATCCCACTTCTAATACTTATTATGAACTCGAATCCAAGATTTCACTTTTCTACTTCCTTTCTTTAATTCTTAATGTACTCCTCATCTTATGGGTTTAAACCAAATTAAACTTCCTCTAAGCTTAACTATTGTCTAATGGTCATAAATCAACCATAAATTCATCAAGAATTTCACTAACAAGAAAACTCACCTTTAGCTTGGCTTCACGGTGGAGAAGAAGAATGAAGAAGAAGAGAAATATGGAAACTTTGGTTCTCCCCAATAGCTTTCCACGTGGATATATAATTATCCTCAACTAATATTTAATTTCTTCCCTGCTAAAAGACTCTTTCGCCCTTGTAATTCTTCCTTCTTTGCTAATTAATCCTACACAAAACATTTCAATCAAGTCATTGAACTTTTCAATTTATCCAATTTGGTCACTGAATTTTTAAATCTCACAATTTAATCACTAACCCGGTATGGAGGATGTTACAATGATGTTCATATTTCGTCGACCGAGTTGACTTACGGTAAATTTAATTTGTTTTATTTCATTTTAGTTTTAACAAAATTATAGTACTAATAATAATTATTTATGTAATTGTATTAAATAATTTATTTCCAAATTGTAGCAAAAAGAACGAGGCATTCGTCATCGAGGAATGACGAATGAAGAGACACATCAGCGGATGCTGATATATCTTTCACAATCCGGATTATATGGAGCGACGATTCTTCACGAATTTAAGGTGATGTCGAAACTGATATCGACGTTGAAGGCTTGAAATGCATACGTTTCATTTTCCTTGCAGTGAAGTGATGATAACATTAGAAGATGTCGCATATCAACTTGGCGTTCCGATTAGGTATGACATTGGTGCTTTGTAACAATTATGCACGAGATGTTGTTATTTCAAATTTATTGGGAAAGAAGGCTCCAGCCAATGTCATTGATGGGAGGCGGATACGAATGACGTGGTTGGAAAGAGAATTTAGAGTTGATGGACGATCAATAGAGCAAGAGGTGATATTTATAGCTTGAGCATATCTTATGACGTTGATTGGAGGGATCTTGCTACCGGATGAATCAGACAATTTGGTGCACACCCAATACCTTTTGGTATTGGAGGATTTCGTTGTATGTCGCAAATATAGTTGAGGTTATGTAGTTTTGGTTTTTTTGTATCGTGAACTCTGCAAGGCGACCATAGTCGTTAGAGGACAAAAACCAGATGTAGCGATTGTTTAGTTTTGCTACAATCATGGGCATGATATCGTCTCCGTTTTTATCCCTATTACATCCGCTCCTATGGAGTTTCATCTCGTCGTAAGGTAAATTCTTATATTTAAAGTTTTGATATTTTATAATATTATTTAAATATTTCGAAAATAACAATAAATAATGTAATTTTTTTAGATGGCGACACCAAATAACCGATACAAAGTTATCAGATGCAACCAAAGTAGATATCCGGATAAGAATTGATATCACGTGGTAGACATGCGGTAAATTTTAATATTTTTTGTATTAACTTTGAAATTGTAATATTAATTATTTAATTATACTAACATAATATTTTTGACAATTTAATTGGATGCCTTATTATGAGTCGGATATCCAACAGTGTTTACCGCCAATGTTCTTTGAAGGAGCGGAGACATGGTGTGACGTAACACCATTACTCCATTTCGCAATTGTTGAGGTCCATGCTGCCGATAGAGTTTTGCGACAATTTGGGTTTCACCAACCAATAGAAATTTATATATTTAACATGGACGATTTATATAAAATAGATGCGTATGGAAGCATAGGGAAGATTGGCCGAGGAAGCATGCTATATTCATACAACAATGGCAAAATAGACATTTACATTTGTCTAATCGTTCTGAGGTACAACCCGGAGATTTTAATTTCAATGTTTCTCTCTACCTCCAAAATTATGAAGAAAATAGGAAACCATACTTAAAAAAGCCGGAGGATCGATCCGAGTGGGAAATAATAAAGGTAAATTATGCAAAAAAATCATCATCAACATCTTCATCTTATGCTTCCGCCTATTATTATCTATCGCAAGAAAGTAATGGTGGATATGGTACATATCAAACATCGATGGAGAGTCGAGCGGCGTAGGAAGAAAGTTCATGGGATCAAGTGTCACATTCACAACAATTTTAATTAGAACCGAAAGAAAGAGTTCCATGGGATCATCTTGTTCAATACGGACAATCTCAATCTCATGGTGATTTCGGTGTGCAATTTGAGGTGATGACGTCAATGATAGCGTCAAATACCTTAAATATTCCATCGTTTTCACCCAAAAATGTAAATTAAAGTGGTGGAGTAATGTTCAGTACACTCGAACCGGAAGAAGAAGAAAATGACGAAGGTGGACAACCACGACGAAATCGACGAGCACCACGTCATTTCTATTCTACCACTCCTCGACATTGACAATAATTGCGCAAATATAAGTAATAAATTTGTTTATTTAAGTTTTTGTACTCGATATTTAATTGTATAAAAAATTCATTGATAAGTAGTAAATTTGTTTATTCGTTTTCACCCTTAAAAATGTTTAAAATTTGTCAATAATTTTAGTTTTAATTAAAAGAACTTTGAAAAATATGTAAACAAATAAAATATGTAAACAAAATGAAAAATATTTAATTAAAAAATAACTTTTAATTAAATTTAATTTAAAAAAATTCATTCATATTTAGTGTAGTTTATAAAAGTTAATTTTTTTAAAAAAATATATGTTATTTTTTGAAATATTTAATTAAAAAAGTGTAATTTTTTTGAA